CTCTGGATCCTGAGTGCTGGCTGGCTGTTTTCTTATACAACTCAGGACCACCTGCCCAGGAGTGGCACCACCCACTCCGAGCTGAGTCTTCCCCATCAATTATTAATCAAGAAAATACTCCCCCCTACACACGCTACCTACATGCCAATCTGATGACGCATTTTTTTTTTTTTTTAGTTGAAGTTCTTCCCAAACGACCCTGACTTGCGTCGAGTTGACAGAAACAACCAGGACATAAAGGTTTATCATTGGAGACTAATTCAAGTTGTTTCTCTTATCAATGTATTTCTAGACTGTTTAATCATTTAAGTTCCCAGACACCAGCTCTTTGAGAAACAGCACTTACTGAGCTCTTGCTAGTGCACCATAGGCGACTGGAGTATCTACCGGAGAGTTATGAGGTATATTAGCAATGGCAAAATCATTTGGTATGATGAAAAGTGTTTCGGACTTGAGATAATACGTGCAGCACAAGACAACACTGGTGATCTGACAATTTAGTTATCTTTATAGTTTAGGCTCACAGGTTTCAACACTATTCCCAAAGGTTTTCCCCAGCACAACCTCAAACTGTCAGTTCCAGGGTCTTGGAATGTTCTGCTATTGGCCTCACAGGTTTGAATGATTCCAAAAGCGCTCACTCTGACGATGACGCAATCTCTTGCCCCTCCTCTTGGCGCTGACCGCTCCGGCACTTATCCAGCCGTTAACCTCTAATCTCAATACTGATTCTAAGTACTCCTCTAAACTGGATGGATCTTTAAGGTAAAGACTTGGGGGCTCTGTCATCCTAAGGGCTATCACCTTAGAGGTGGCCCCACAATTTCAAATTTCATCACAGAAATAGAAATTCTGCTCGTAAATGTAGGGGTCTTCTTTTAACTTCGGGCCTATTTCTCCCAGTGTTCTGCAATCCGTTTTATCCTGTGGGTGGAGGAAACCAGGCTGGGTGGCTGAGAAGGGAATGGCGTCAGCGTGAGGTCACGCTCCACAGTGCCTAAGGCCATCTCGGGATGATTTCCATCATCCTATCACGACAGGAAGGCCCAAGAAAGACGGAGCCCTCAAGTCGAGGGGAAAAAGAGAAAAAAGTCGGTAAACTGGCAAGGACCGTTGGTCACCTGCGCGCCAAGTGGAGAGCGCCGACGGAGAGGGAAAGTGTGGCGCGCCAGTTCGGTCGTGGTCCCCGTAGCGCGGGGCGGGACTTCCGGAAGCCATTTGCCTGAGTGGCAGGGGGACCGGAAGTGGAGGCGCTGCTGCTTGGCGCTGGGGCCGGAGGAGGGGACGCGCGCCGGAACGGGGCCGCCAGGACCAAGGGAGCAACAGACACGCAACCCGCCGACGCCGCAGCCGCTGGGGGCCCGCACGGACCCTCTGCCTCTGTGAGTGCATCGCGGGGACCGCGGAGCTGGGGCTTGGGTGTCGCGGGTGGGACGCGCAAGCGAGATGGTATTGTGAGGCCCGGCTCCCCTCCCCCACACGGCCCCTCCCCCGCCGCGCCCCGCGCCGTCGCCCCACAGGCCCTCGGGGGCCCCGCGCGGTCCCTGCTGCCCTCCGGCGCCCGAGTCTCGCTCCGGCTGGCGGGTGTGTGCCCCGCGGGTCTCCTGAGCCGGCCTCCTGCCTTCTTCCTCAGCTGTTGCCTTTTCCCTCCATCTCCGGGGTGGGACCTCTAGGCCCAAGCCTGTGACTCGGTTGTTCGGTTGTGCTTTTTTTTTTAAAACGGATCACGCTCTTTTTCCTTTTTGTCGAAAACTGTCTCCTCATTAGAAACTTCTCTGTTGCCTTCGCTGAAACACCCCCAAAGACCCGTGTCAGGACTCTAAAAGGATTGTTAGAAGGCTAGCCTTAAGAGTCACCCACTCTCTTCCGCGAAGAGGCCGAGACGTTGGTGGTTTGGCCGATGGCCTACCAGTTTGGTGAATCCTGTCAGTGGCTAGATTTCTTGGCGGTGTGTTTCCCCTGCCCACCCTCCACCCCAGTCGTCCATGGCCAGTTAGCGGGTCAGAGCCTGTGGTCTACAGGTTTGATTGACTCCTGGCAGAGTGACTCATTATTCTGCTTTCCATAGCTCCCAGGCCAGCGCTGCCTTTCATCCATTCTCTCCGAACCTTAAGAAAAGCCACAGCCTTAACGCTTTGGCGTCTCTGAAGAGCGTGGCTATGGACAAAGGAAAGAGCACCTGGACGCTAGGAGCAGGTCCTAGAGCTGCATTTTCTACAGCTTTCAACTGGGTGCAGAGAGAGGGCCAGAGGGGAAAAGGTGGAGAAAGAGGAAAGAGAAAATACGGACTAATCTTTGCCTTGGATGGGCTTTGTGTCTGTCTTTAGGCTCCTTCCCTGGGCACATTGTTCTGACTTAAAGGTTGCCTCCTTGTGGGGTAGTAGGGGAGGGAGTCATTGCGCATTAATTTGTTGGCATGGGCACTTGATGATAAATTATGGATGTGCTGGATCCTGGGGGGCCGCCCACCAGAGGTTGAGGAAGGGTATTCTGATGAGGCCTGCCTTTCTCTTCAGAATAACCCTGCCAGCGTTCTGAAGCAAGATGAAAAGCCTCAGGCCTTAATGGAAGCGCTCGAAATCTTTTCATTCTCATTTCAAAGGTCTCTGTTAGTTTCATGGTTCACACACACAAAATCCAATTGAGCTGGGGAATTGGTAATTGTTTTGTTGGGACTGGCTTCCACACCGTGCATGTAGAAAGTCTGGTTCTGTGTTGTCATGGTCTAAGTGGAGAGGGCAGAAAGTTTCGGGTTAGGATAGCTTCCTCTTCGCAGAGAATTTTGAAGGACAACTAAAGTTCTCTGTAGAATACTTTTTTCATGGAAATTTACAAAACTACCCACCTTTTACTTCCCTTCTGCTACTTTTTTACTACCAAGCCTGCTGTTTGTTGGGTAAAGAGATTATTAAGAATCAGTAAGGTGAGATGGGGGGGGGTGCTGCTTTTTGGTTTGTTGCGGTACTAGGAATTGAGCACTGCCACTGGGAAACGGAGTTACGGTTATGAGCTGCACCTGTAGTTGCTGGGAATCAAACATGGGGACCTCTAGAAGAGCAGTAAGTGCTCTTAACAGCTGAGCCATCTCTTCATCTTCCCCCCTCCCCCAGTTTGCTTGTTTGGTTTTTGAGACAGGATTCCTCTGTGTAATTCTGACAGTCTTGAAACTCACTCTGTAGACCAGGCGGGCTTCTAACTCACTGAGATACGCCTGCCTCTTTCTCTCAAGCACTGGCATTCAAGGTGTGCACCACTATTCTCAGTGTGGCTGGGATAGAAATTTGCTTTCTGCTTAGGTCCGGAATCCTGCAACTCGGATTTTTTGCAACTTCCATAAGTTGCTCTTTGGATGCCTCCTGATTCATTTCTTCATTCATTTTCTGTATTTTTTAAAATCTTTTTGGTTTTTTGAGACAGGCTTTCTCTGTAACTTTGGAGCCTGTCCTGGAACTAGCTCTTGTAGACCAGGCTGGCCTCGAACTCACAGAGATCAGCCTGCCTTAGCCTCCCGAGTGCTGGGATTAAAGGTGTGCGCCACCAACACCCGGCTATTTTCATGTTTATAAATATGTTGCCTACATGTATGTATATAAGTGTATCACATGTATGCAATGCCAACATAGGCCAGAAGGCGCCAGATCCCCTGAACTAGAGTCACAGATGGTTGTAAATCACCATGTGGGTGCTGAGAGTTGAACCCTGGTCCTCTGCAAAGAGCAGCCAATGCTCTTAACCACCTCCTGTCTCTTTAAATTTTCTATATTTAGAAATCGTGTGTGTGCGCATGTGTGTGTGTAGGTCGGAGAACAGCTTGAGGAGTTCTATTTTTGCACCACGGGGGCTCTGAAGTCAAGGCTCAGATTGTTACCCTTGGTAGCAAGCACTCTGAATCTATTTGGCACTCAGTCCATTTTATATATGTGTGTGTGTTTGTTTTTGTTTTTGTTTTTTTTTAAGCATGGTTTCTCTCTGTAGCTATGGGCACTCACTTTGTGGACCAGGCTGGCCTCAAACTCACAGAGATTCTCCTGCCTCTGCTTTACAAGTGCTGGGATTAAAGGTGTGCACCACTACTGCCTGGCTGTCCATTTATTCTTGAACAAAGCTTGTTTTATACAGGAATAGGTTGCATGATAAATTTTACTTTACCAAGCTGTTTCATTTATTTGTTTTTTATTATTATCACTCAAAACCCTGAACAAAGCACTTCCATCTGAACCCTAAATCTTATATTCTGCTTGAGAGGGGCTCCCTGTGTAGCCTGGCCGCCTGGACTTGGTGCAAGTACCTGTGTCTACCTTCTAGATGCTGAGATCACAGGTGTCCCAATACTGCAACCAGTCATAAGTTCCGATTTTTTCCCAAGACAAAATGAAGGGACACGGAAGGAGAAACCAAGAAACAAAATTTGCTTGCCTAAAGTTAAAAGGCAGTTATAACTGAGAGAAGATTGAAAACCATTCCAAACTGTTCCAAACCATTCCTTCAATATGAATACAAAGGCAAAGCAACTGAGTGCAAGTGCTTTGTGCCTCTGACTCTTGGATGTGTTCTTCTGCCACATCAGACATCTTACAACAGAGTAACTTCCACTATTTCACAGAAGCCCGCAGTTTTATAACATTTTTAAAACCTAGAAGTGGGATCTTTGGGCTGACGAGGGAGGGGGACTTTTTGGGGGGAGGGGGAGGGAAATGGGAGGTAGTGGCGGGAAAGAGACAGAAATCTTCAATAAATAAATTAAAAAAAATAAAAATAAAAAAATAAAATAAAACCTAGAAGTGGAAAACTGAGCCATAAATTCTTGCCATCTCTTCTTTATTGGCCAGACCAGAAAGAACAATCAAGAGGTCTAGCCAAGCCAGGAATGGTGGCAAACACTTTTAATTTCAGTAGAAGCAGATGGATCTCTGAGTTTGAGGTCGGCTTTGTCTATAGAGCAGTTCCAGGATAGCCAGGGTCACACAGAGAAAACTTGTCTAAAAAACTCAAAGTTTAGACATTTGGAAGTCAGATAATGTCAACTGTTGTGTGTGTGTTTTTTTTTTTTAATTATTTAACTTTATTTTATGTGCATTGGTGTGAGGATGTCAGATCTGGAACTTGAGCTACAGACAGTTGTGAGCTGCCATGTGGGTGCTGGGAATTGAACCTGGGTCCTTTGGAAGGGCAGGCAGAGCTCTTAACCGCTGAGCCATCTCTCCAGCCCCAACTGTTGTTTTCTTTAAGACAAATAAGCAAGGAATGAGGCTGGCAATATGGCACACACACCAATTAAATGTGATTTTTTTTAATATAAAAAGTAATAATAGCCTTGGTTTGCTTAACAGAAATAGATTAGTGATGGAACTATAGCTCAGTGGTAGAGTGCTCACCCAATGTGTAGGTTTTGGGTTCAATACCCAGTGCCACAAAATGAAATAAGCCCACCATCCCATAAACAGCAATAATTTGAACAAACATTACATTCCTAATTCAGAGGTCTGGAATGCTCTGAATCTGGTTTATATTTTTAGTTTGAGAATATCACATGGTACCACAAATGGTAAATTCCATATCTGACTTCATATGTTGGATCATAGTGAGACATTCGGTACACTAACAGTATTATATAAAGCTACCTCCGCACTGTCTGTTAGATGTACCTGAAATGTAAGTGAACCTGGAACCCATTCTCAAGGCATCTCGTGTATGCACAAATGCAATTCTGAATACCTTAGAGAGCTACAACCTATGTGTGACTTCTGTTTCAAATCCTACCTTTCCTACTTAATAGTTTTCCAATAGAACAGATTCCTTAGGTATTATTTATTTATTTTGAGACATGAGACATGAGAGCCCTGGCTATCCTGGAACATTCTGTGTAGATTAAGACTAAGACTAAACTGTCTTCCTTGAACTCACAGATCTGCCTGCCTTGAGTGCTAGGATTAAAGATGTGGTATCATAGCTAGTAAGTTCCTTTTTGTTTTGTTTTGTTTTTCGAGACAGGGTTTCTCTGTAGCTTTGGAGCCTGCCCTGGAACTAGCTCTGGTAGACCATGTTGGTCTCGGACTCACAGAGATCCACCTGCCTCTGCCTCCCGAGTGCTGGGATTAAAAGCATGTACCACCACCACCTGGCCAGTAAGTTCTTAATAAGTGTTCATTATAAGTTGTTTTAGATAGTTGTTTACCTGATGAGTGAGTTCAGAAAACCCATTTCTAAATTAAACTGTAGACCCAAGAAGATGTTAAAGTTTATTCAGGCCTGTGGTCTTGAGAATAGATTGTGACCTGATGCATGAGATGAATCTTTGGAACTTTAAGGAAAAAAAAACCCAGGATTAATTTTTTAAGCCAAAAAGAAAAAAAGAGAGAGAGAATAGCCTCAGTGATGACCACCTACAATCTCTGCATTTGGGAGGATGAGGCAGTGAAGCAGGATAGTGAGTTTGAATCTAGCCTGGATTACGTGACAAGACCTTGTCTCAAAACCCATAAAACTTGACTAATTAATATGCATGTTGGGGTGGAGAAATAGCTCAGAGGTTAAGACAACCGTTTTAGTGAGATCTGATGCCGTCTTCTGGCATAGAGTCAATGGAGCATTCATATTCATAAAATAAATAAATTTCTAAAAAGAATTAAAAAGTAAGGTCTAGATAGATGTGGTGGCACACACCTTTAATTCCAGCAGTAGGATGTATGTAAAATTTGTCTTTTAGTAGTAAAAAGCACCATTCTTTGATACAGGGAATTCTATAAATTAGCATGAAAATGGCATAGACAGTTACATTCTTGTGTGTAACCATTGCCTGTAACACGGCAATGAAGACAAACTGAAACACAGGTAAGACTTCCACTTGGTTCTGAGGCAGTTTTCTCCCCGTGACTATTATTTGTCTCCTAATCTTTGGTGGGGTTTTTTTGTTTGTTTGTTTTTGTTTTTCGAGACAGGGTTTAGCTTTGGAGCCTGTCCTGGAACTAGCTCTTGTAGACCAGATTGGCCTCAAACTCACAGAGATCTGCCTGCCTCTGCCTCCCAAGTGCTGGGATTAAAGGCGCGCACCACCATTTGGGGTGTGTGTGTGTGTGTGTGTGTGTGTGTGTGTGTGTGTGTGTGTTGAGATAGGATCTCACTTACTTGGTAACCTGGAACTCACTGTGTAGCATCAGGTTGCCCCAGACTCACAAAGCTTCCTTCCCTCAATCTCCCAAATGGTGAAAGCCACTGTGTTTGACTTAACCTTTGTTTTGAGAAAAGACCTCGTGTATCCCAGGATGGTCTTGAACTCACGTAGGTACAGTTGACCTTGAGTTTCTGTTCTCCCTCCCTGAGTGTTAGCTAGGATTATAAGATTATAAAGATTATATTGATAAAATTTAGTATGTTGCTAGGAATTGAACCCAAAGTTTCAGGCATGGCCAGGCAAGCATGCTACTAACAAGGTTTTATCCTTAGTGCCTAGTTTTGTCTTTGTGTATTTCTGTGTGTGCACATGCATGTAGTACATGTGGAGGTCAGGCATCAAACTTTGGGTGTTCCTCAGTTAATATTCACCCCCACCACCCCCCTTTTGAGACAGAATCTTGATACTTAACCCTAACTGGCCTGGAGCTTGCAGTGTAGACCAAACTGTCTTCAACCTACAGAAGTACACCTGCCTCTGTCTCCTAAATTCTGGGATTAAAGGCATGTGTCGCCACAGCTTGAGTTACTCAGGTAACTTCATGATTTTTAAGAGACAATAAATGGTCTCTCTCTAACCTGGAATTCTAAGTTAGTATAAGCTAGACCATTACACTGGCCACGAGCCCAAGAATCTGCCTGTCTCCACCTCCTCAGAGCTAGGATTATTAGCACATGCTGTCACACCTGGCTTCCTTTTCTAAACAAGAATGTTGGGGTTGAATTTGAGCACCTTCATCTCCGGTTTTGTCTTATTAGTACCTTAATTACTGTATAGTCACTGTGATGATTTAGTGGATTCTAATTGTTGCTGTAGTCCTGTTTACTCAAAACATTTTATGTATATGGGTGTTTTGCCTGCATATATATTTGTGTATCATGTTCATACTTGGTGCCCAAGAAGGCCAGAAATGAGTGTTAGATACCCAGGAGCTACAATTACAGATAGCTGCTAAATGGGTGCTGGGAATTGAAACAGGGTGATCTGAAAAAAGCAGCCAGTGCTCTTAACCTCTGAGCCATCTCTCCAGCCTATTCTATTTATTTGTTTGTTTATTGAGATAAGATCTCTCTATAATATCTCTACTTAGCCTTGGTTGTCCTGGAACTCACTATGGAAACTGGGTTAGCCTTAAACTATTGAACTAACTCATCTTGATCTCCCTGCCTCTGCCTCCAGAGTGCTGAGATGAAAGACATGTGCCACAATGTGTAATTTTTTTTAAGCATTCATATGTATGATATGTGTGTGAATGCCATTGTGAGTGTAAAAGTGTGTGTGTGTGTAGGTAGGTAGGTAGGTAGGTAAAAACATGGATTTTTACAGAATTGGTCCTCTTTCCGCAGTGTGAATTTTAGAGATCTATTTCAGGTTGCCAGGCTTTCATGACAAGTGCTTTTACTCTCTAAGCCATGTGACTGGCTCCTGTAGTCTGTGTCTGTGTTTGTATGCCGTGTGTGTGGTAGTGCCTGTGGAGACTTGCAGAGATTATCATATCCCTTGGAGTTGGAATCCACATGGGTGTTAGAATCCAAACCCAAGTTCTGCAAGAACAGCAAGTGTACTTAACCACTGAGCTAACTCTTCAGGCTCCCCACACTGTACTCTATTCTTTAGTGTATAATTCTAGCAGCCTTAAAGGCTGTAATGTAGATTTCATTATTCTATAAGTGTCTAATTTTTTAAGCAATTTTGTGCTTGCTACAATCAGTGATCATGAAAACTAACATAGGATAGGTGTGTCAGGTAAAGTGTATATTTGGAGCAGAGCTTTTACCTTTTGGGGGCTGGGGTTTGAGACAGGGTTTCTCTGTGTAACTTGAGGTCCTGTTTGTTGGGGTTTCTGCCCTGCCCAGTTCCCATAGCCAGTAAGCCCCAAAGAAAATCACACAGATTTCCATAAGATTATAAACTGATTGGCCCGTTAACTCAGGCTTCTTAACTCTTGCAATGTATATTAACCCATTATTCTTATCTATGTTAGCCACTTGGCTCAGTACCTTTTTCAGGGGGCAGGTCACATCCTGCTTCTTACGTGGTCTGGGCAGGAGTCGAGGGAGCTTCCTGCTTCCCAGAACTCTCCTGTTCTCACCACCCCGCCTCTACTTCCTGTCTGGTAGACCCACCTATATTTCCTGCCTGGCCAATCAGCATTTATTTAAAACATGATTGACAGAATACAGACAATTCTCCCACACCACTCTGTATAACAACTCCAACTGTCCTGGAACTCACTCTGTAGACCAGCCTGGCCTTGAACTCACAAAAAGATTCATCTACCTCTGCCTCCAGAATGCTAGGATTAATGGGGTAAGTCACCACTTGTTCATTTAATCTTAATAACAGCAAAGAGAGGAGTGATGGGGTTAATGTTTTATGTGATGGTCTTTTCATAAGTGATATGAAAATGTCTAAAGTCAGTGGTAATATTTTAGAGACTTATATAATCATGTTCTAGAATTCATCTCTGCTGAAAATCAATCCTGTTTTAGTTCCCAGGCAAAATCCATAATAAAATGTTATTTTAACCTGACAGTATGGGCTGGAGGGATGGCTCAGACGTTAAGAACACTGATTGCTCTTCCAGATGACCTGTATTCAATTCTGAGTAACCACATAGTGGCTCACAACCATCTGTATTGAGATCTGGTGCCCTCTTCTGTCCTGCAGCATACTTGCAGACAAAATACTGTATACATAATTAATAAATTAACCTTCCAAAAATTTTTTAAAAAAACACAAAACATACTGGCTGCTCTTTCAGAGGACCCAATTCAATTGCCTTCACCCACATGGCACTTAACAATCTTCTGTAATTCCAATTCCAGGGTATCTGACCCCCCTCTTCTGACTTTTGTGGGCACTACACAAATTTGATGTACAAACATACAAGCATAATACATCTTTACATAAATAGAAATATTTTTAGAAAGAAGCAAGGTGGTGGTAATACATGCCTTTAATCTCAGCACTTGGGAGGCAGTACTAAACAGATCTCTATGAATTCGAGGCCAGCCTAGTCTAGTCTAGTGAGTTCCAGGACAGCTGGGGCTACACAGAGAAACCCTGTCCTGAAAAACATAAATTAAAATAAATAAATACATAAATATTTACTGGGCCAGTAGCATAGTAAGTTCCATGATAGCCAGAGCTACATAGTGAGACCCTGTCTCAAAAACTGACTTTATTTGGTATTTTAATGTTCTTGTTAATAAATGAAACATGACAGACATTTCTCCTCAGGTGTAGAATGAGCCAAGGAGACTCAAACCCAGCAGCTATTCCACATGCAGCAGAAGATATTCAAGGAGATGACAGGTGGATGTCTCAGGTAAAAGTTGGTGCATATGGATTACTTGCATGGATGGATGACTTTGTGTGTATGCTAGTATATGTGTGTGCATGCACGAGCTAACGTGTTTGCACGCATGTGATGACCAGAGATCTGGTGTTTTCTTCAATTGATTGTTCTCCACCTTACCTTTTGAAACAATGTTCTCACTGAACCTAGAGCTATCTAATTTCTTTTCTTTCTGATTTTTCCAGGAAGGGTTTCTCTGTAGCTTGGGAGCCTGTCCTCTCTGTAGACCAGGCTAGCCTCAAACTCAAAGAGATCCACCTGCCTCTTACCTCCCAAGTTTTGAAGTTAAACGTGTGGGCAACCACTGCATAGCAAAATAAGTTTCTTGACCAGGTGTGCTCGGCAGCACTTCCAATGATCTAAACTCAGGAGACTGAGGCAGCACTACTAGGAGTTAAAGGCCAGCCTGGGCTACATAGTTAGACCTGACTTTAAAAAGCAAACAGTCAGAGGCTGGTGAGATGGCTCAGTGGTTAAGAGCACTGATTGCTCCTCCAGAGGACAGGGGTTCAATTCCCAGCACTCACATGGCAGCTCGCAGCTGTCTGTAGCTCCAATTCAAGAGAATCTGACATCATTATACCAATGTGCATGAAATAAAGTTAAATTTTTTTTTTTTTTTAAAAAAAAGCAAATAGTCAGGCAGTTCCTACTGGGTTCCTCCTGCTTTTAAACTTAGATTAGACTGGAAAGGATTGAGTCCTGATCTGCTGACAGTTTTGCATTTGGATGTTACAGCTGTTCAAAATATGTATTATATCTACAAGCTAGGCATCTACCTCAGGAGGAAGCTGAGGAGGAAAAAAAGACTTGGGTTTTAATTAGATCCTAGTTCAAAGATAAATGTAATACTTTAGAGAATCTGTAAAGCCTGATATAGATTGGATAATAGATGTTAATGGCTAGTTTTTATTTTCTTAGTATGGTTTCATAAAAGAACATTCTAACTTGTAAGTATTTGCTGTAATACCTGAGTCATGGGAAGTAGAGAGATGGCTCAGCAGTTAAGGACACTAGCTACATTATTATGAAGTGTGGAGTTCAGATCCAGCACCCACCTTGGGTGGTTCACCAAACACCTGAATCTCCAGCTTCAAGGGATAGGATGCCCTCTAGTGGCTTCCTCATTCACCCTCAAACATTCATGCTTGTATGCAGCCCTAAGTAAAGTAAAACTTTCTTTAAAAAAAATAAAAGAATTAGCTCACATCTATTTTCCCAGCACAATTGGGAATTAGAGGCAAGAGGATACAGGAATTCAAGGCTAGTCTGGGGTATTCAAGACAGTTTCAAAAACAAAAGAGGCTGAGCGTGGTGACACATGCATTAGCTATCAACCTCAGGTAGAGGCAGGTGGATCTCTCTTGAGTTTGAGGCCATTTTGGTTTATTATATACCAAGTTATAAGCTAGCCAGTATAGTGAGACTTTGTCTCAAAAACAACAACAAAATCTCAAATAATTTAACAGATAAATAGCTGTATAAAAAGATAAAACAAATGCCAGGCAGTGGTGGCGCATGCCTTTAATCCCAGCACTCGGGAGGCAGAGGCAGGTGGATCTCAGTGAGTTCAAGTCCAGCCTGGTCTAGGACAGGCTCCAAAGCTACAGAGAAACCCTGTCTTGAAAAACCAGAGAGAGAGAGAGAGAGAGAGAGAGAGAGAGAGAGAGAGAGAGAGAGAGAGAGAAACAAATCTAGAAAATGTCATAACAATAAGTTTGCATCAGTGTATACATATGCATATGTCTGAATCATCTTGATAGCCCCCAAAATGCCTTCTTTTTCCCCCTAATTTGGGGGGGAGGTAGGCTTTTTTTGTTTTGTTTTTTTAAATTAAATGAAGCATTTTGCTATTCTGGATTTAGTAAAATTGCGATTTTCTTGAATAGAATAATCAGTATGGCATTGGTAGAAAATAATTTCCAATTAACCAGAGAAAAAAAGAAGCAGCTTTAGACTAGCCTGAAAAGGATGGGTGGCTTGGTTAATTTGCTTGCTTACTTATTTGTTTTATATTGTTGGGAGTGGGTCTCTGGGTCTTGCCCATAACTAATGTTTTAAAGGACCTGGTTGGACAGCTGTTACTTTTAGGCCTATGAATTGCAAAAGGAAAGAAATACCAATTTCTTATTTTTCTTTCTTCTATAAACCAGCATAATAGGTTTGTTCTGGACTGTAAAGACAAAGAGCCGGACGTGCTCTTTGTGGGAGATTCCATGGTTCAGTTGATGCAGCAGTACGAGGTAAATCGGGTAATCTTGACTCCTTGTATATGTCCACTGATAACTTACAGACTTCGATTCTAAACTGACCTCCTAGGCTCAGGGTTGACAGATGTTCTAGTGCTATGAGCAGATGTACCTAGTGGGATTCTTGGGCTAGTATTATTTGTAGCAAAACTCCCTTTTTTGCTCTTGGCTTCCGAGTAGCTTGATATTTGCTATATTTGCCTGGTGGTAATGTCTGATTCTTCTATTTGCTTTGTCCTGCTCATGATTCTCACATATTTGTGTTCTGCCACTTTCTGACTTGTGTGGGGGTGAGGGTGGGGGTAGAAATTGGGTTTCTCTGTGTAGCCTCGGTTGGATGGAACTCACTCTGTAAACCAGCTCACCTCTGCGTTCTGAATGCTAAGATTAAAGGAGTGCACCACCACTGCTCTGAAACTTGTATATTTTTGTAATAGGCGTTTCCAAATATTTTCAGGGTTGGGTTGGGCAATCTTCCAAAGGAAACTTAAAAGAAAATACAACTTTATTTCTTATTTTGTTTGGTTGGTTGGTTGGTTTTTCTGAGACAAGGTTTCTCTATATAACAGCCCTACCCTGACTGTCCTGGAACTTTCTCTGTAGACCAGGCTGGCCTTGAAGTCACAGTGCTAGGATTAAAGGCTCGTACCACCATCACCTGGCATCATTTAGTTTTTTAAAAATAGTCAAATTCATGAAAAAAATGTTTATTGAGCTTGATTTAGGATGTTGATTTCTCAGTGGGTATTAGAATGGGCTGTGTAGGTTCTTGAGCTACAACTCAGTGCTGCATTAAGAACTAAGTCATGCCAGGCTCCCAGCAGTTGGGAGGCAGAGACTGGTGGATCTCTGAGTTCTAGGCCAGCCTGGTTTACAGAGCAAGTTCCAGGAAGGCTCCAAAGCCACAGATAAACCCTGTCTACAAACAAACAAACAAAGAAGTGAATCACTGCACACTAGCATCTCAAAGCTCTTTAAGTGAATGGCATATTGTTTTTGGTGCTAACATTTGAATAAAGAATGTAGAAGATTAGTGTTTGTGGTAGTGCACGCCTGAAATCCTGCCTCTAGGGAGGCAGAGGCAGGGGAGTCTCTGAGTTTGAGACTAACCTGCTCTAGAGTAAGTTCCAGGACAGCCAGGGCTGCACAGAGAAACCCTGTCCCAAGAAAACAACAACAAAAATGTGGAAGATGTTAGTTTTAGATGTATTAAATCATATTGCAATTAAAGGCCTTGTATTTCCAGTGATTTTTAGTCTAACTGAAACAAGTTTTTTGTTTTTAGATTTGGCGAGAGCTGTTTTCCCCACTTCATGCACTTAATTTTGGAATTGGGGGAGACACAACACGACATGTTTTATGGAGACTAAAGAATGGAGAACTGGAGAACATTAAGCCTAAGGTGATGAAACATACTTTTAAAAGATAGGATTAGTCTTGTCTTCCAAGTACAGTTGTTTGAAGTAGTGAAAAATTGCTTCTTTAAAGGTTTGATTCATGCTTGCTCTTTCTTTCATGCTTGTGTATAGGAAACATCTGTGCTTAGGAAATTAGTGAGGCACCGACCTAAAAACGGACCTAGTCTATTGTTTGGCTGGGTTGTATTGTGATTGTTAGGACTCTTCAGTAGGAGGAGTCAATTTGATGCTCAGTAGGTTTGGAATGCCTGGGCAGTACTGTGGGAAGCAGAGCAATGACTCACTTCAGGAAATGCTGGGCACATAAACAAATATATGGCCAAGATCTCTGAGTTCTTCTGAAAAAGCTGGGGATATATGTGAACAAATGAATCTGTAATGTCTTTTCACATTATAAACATCTGTGGTTGGGGTACTGCATATAATTTTTTCAACCCCTAAAGAGAAAGAAAAGAAAAAACAAAGGAGAGTCCCTAGTGAAAGTTGCTTTCACCGGGCATATGGTGCATGCCTTTAAATACAAGTAGAGAAAACATTGTTAAAACTACATCCAGCATGTGCTCAACTATGTTCATAGCAGCATTGTTTGCCATAGCCAGAACCTGGAAACAACCTAAATGTCCCTTGACCGAAGAATAGATAAGGAAAATGTGGCACATTTACACAGTGAAGTACTACACAGCAGAGAAAAATAACATCTTGAAATTTGTAAGCAAACGGATAGAGCTAGAAAACATCATACTGAGTGAGGTAACCCAGACCCAGAAAGACAATTATCATATGAACTCACGCATAAGTGGCTTTTAAACATGAAGCAAAGAAAACCAGCCTGCAAATCACAATCCCAGAGAACCTAGACAACAATGGGGACCCTATGAGAGACATACATGGCTCTAATGTGCTTAGGAAGTAGAAAAAGACAAGATCTCCTGTAGTAAATTGGGAGCATGGGGACCTTGGGAGAGGGTTGAAGGGGAGGAAAGAGATAGGGAGGGGAGCAGAGAAAAATGTAGAGCTCAATAAAAATCAATTAAAAAAATTAACAACAACAAAAAACTACATCCAACCTCCATCCTAGTGACTCCTTTCTTGAGTGCACCTGTGTGTTTATAGCCTTTGCACTCCTGCGTGCTCTTGTTATTGCTAGAGTATTTGTAACCAGGGAAGTCTTTACTGTGACAGGATTCAGTTCCTTTAAATCCCACTTTGCTATAGCTGTTTATTTATCTTCAACCATATTATTAGGCATAAGCCACTAGGCTTTGTTTCTGGGAATTTGATTACATTTATTTCATGTGTATGCATGCATGTGCAACAATGTGTGTGTAAAAGTCAGAGGGCGCCTTTTAGAAATGGGTTTTCTCTTTCTTCCACCTGGGTTTGTATATTGAACTCAGGTTTGCAGACTTGGCAACAGGCGTCTTTACCCAAGGAGCCATTTCACTTTTGTTTTCAGTTTTCCAATTGAAGTTACCCAACATCATCTGAGAAGCTCATTTTCCTTTTGATTTTTTTTTAAATTTTTATTGAATTTTCGATTTATTTTACTTGTGTCTTCACATGCAAATATGAGTGAACATATTGTGGCACTGTGGGGTTTTGTGGACTTTTGTGGGAATTGATTGCTGCTTTGTACCATGTGGGCCCAAGGAGTTGATGGGGTTGAACTTAGGTCATTAAGCCTCTTGGCAAATCCCTTTACCTGTTGAGCCTTCTCACCTATTCCTGATTCTCTGTTTTTTTTTTAATAGGTTTTCATTTAAATGTTTTATGTTCTTTTATTCCTTGATCTTCATCGTCTCCCCTCTTTTTTCTTCCCTCATTGTAGGTCATTGTTGTCTGGGTAGGAACAAACAACCATGAAAATACAGCAGAAGAAGTAGCAGGTGGAATTGAGGCAATTGTACAGCTTATAAATACAAGGCAGCCACAGGCCAAAGTCATTGTGCTGGTGAGTAGTCGTTCTGGGAGGAGACTTTTATATCTTTAGAGTCACTCACTGAAAAATCTTTTTTAAAAAATGGTGTCTCTCATCAATATAGAGTCTTTAAGTGGAAGCAATTTCTGATAGTTGTTTGCAAGGGCAGGATGGTTAGGATAAAAGGTCATGAAGGGATGTATTTGCTATTACTAGTAGTTTGTGTTTTAGTTTGTAGGTGCCAAAGAGCCAGATCTTTTTTAACTGGTATGTCTGAAGACAACCTATAAGAATTAGTTTTCGCACACCTTTAATCCCAGCACTTGGGAGGCAGAGGCAGGCGGATCTCTGGGAGTTTGAGGCCAGCCTGGTCTACAAGAGCTAGTTCCGGGACAGGCACCAAAGCTACAGAGAAACCCTGTCTCGAAAAACCAAAAAAAAAAAAAAAAAAAGAATTAGTTTTCACTGGATGCTTGATAATGGTGAACAGCTTTAATCCCAGCACTTGGGAGGAAGAGGCAGGTGGAGCTCTGTGAGTTTGAGACCAGTTTGGTCTATAGAGCAAGTTCCAGGACAGCCAGGGCCACACAGAGAAGCCTTTTCTCAAAAAAACACCACCACCAACAACAAAAGAAATAGTTCTCTTCTACCACTATGTAGGTGCCAGGGATCAAACTCAGATCATCAGGTATTGTGACAGCTTTTACCTGGTGAATTATCTTGCCAGCTTCAGATCTTAGTCTTTACTTCATGGCATTTAATATTTTTTAAAGATTTAATTCAAAGAAAAACATATAGCTCAATAAAACAATTTTAAAAAGATTCAAATAAAAATGATTTATTGTATATACAGTGTTCTGTCTGCATGTATGCCTGCATGCAAAAGAGGCCACCAGATCTCATTACAGATGGTTGTGAGCCACCATATGTTTGCTGAGAATTGAACTCAGGACCTCTGGAAGAGCAGCCAGTGCTCTTGACCACAGAGCTATCTCTTCAACCCCCTTGTAGCTGTTGCATTTTGTGTTTTATTCCATGCTGGTATATTGTGACTTGAGAGTTTAGCTCTAAAAAAGCCTCTTGGGGGTGTTGATATATGAATGGTGCAGGGAAAATCCTCCCAAATCCTTTTGTTTTAAAATTGTTTTGTTTTAAAATTGTTGAAAATCCTCCAAAATCCTTTTGTTTTAAAGTGAATATTAAGGAGCTGAGGGCATATAACTCAGTGGTAGAGTATTTGCATAGTATGTGTGTGACCCTAGATTTGATCCCCAATACTGAATTTATTTATAAAAAGTCAAATTTGATAAAGGTACTGATTATGCTCTTATCAATAATTCTGAAATATTAGAAGTAACCTAAATGAGGAAGTACTCTGGGAATGATCCTAGAGTACATTAGCCCAGATCATATTAAAACTGAGTGGACGGCTAGAGAGATGGCTCAGAGGTTAAGAGCACCAGCTGCTCTTCCGGAGGACCTGAGTTTAATTCCCAGCAACCACTTGGTGGCTCACAACCATCTATAATGAGATCTAATGCCCTCTCCTGGCCTGCAGGCATACATGGAGGCAGAATGTTGTATACATAATAATAAATAAATCTTTATGAATGGTATGTGAAAAAGACCATGCTGTATTGAGGTGGAAAACCTGTGGTTACTTAAACATACACTCATTTGGATATTTGGATATATATCCAATTATTTGGAAAAAGTCTAAAAGAAGCAGAATTAGAAGAGTTGTTAAAAGGTAAAGGGATTAAATTTTCCCTGTGTACACACATATGTATGTGTCTCTATGTAAGTGTGTGAATACAGTGATGCACATGTGGAGGTTGCACAACAACCTCAGATACTGGTCCTTGCCTTCTACCTAGTTTTAGACATCTCTTGTTCCACCCTGCGTATTCCAGGCTAGCTGACCCACAAACTTACAAGAATCCTCCTGTCTCGACCTCCCAACTCAGAATAGCACTGCAGGGATTATAGGTGGCTGCTGTATCTTGCTTTACATGAATTCTGGGGAACTTGGGTTCTTGTGCATGGGCAGCAAGCACTTTCCCCATGGAGCCATTTTTTTTTTTTTTTTTAAGTTTTTCGAGACAGGGTTTCTCTGTAGCTTTGGACCTCGACCTGGCACTAGCTCTTGTAGACCAGGCTGGCCTCGAACTCACAGAGATCTGCCTGTCTCTGCCTCCCCAAGTGCTGGGATTAAAGGCGTGCGCCACCACCGCCCGGCTTCATTGAGCCATTTTTGTTGCCAGGATTGTAATGTCTTTTTTTAGCAATCATTTAAAATCAAAGGGGGAAAAAAAATCAATCAGTATACCTTGGTACTTTGATTAAGGAAAATGTTATGCAAGTACAAAAACTTTTTTTATATTTTTTATAATTAGTTATTTTGTGTGTACTGTAGAAACTTGTGCTGTAGAAACTTGTGTATGTATATGAAGGTCAAAAGACAACTAAAGGTGGTTGATTTTTCTGAGGATTGAGGTTAGATCATCAGGTTTATTGGCAATGTCTTTTCTCATTGAACCATCTCAATGGCTATTTTTTCTCATTCTTGTTTGTAAATACCAGTAGATATGTTGCCCTGATCATGAGAAATAATCATTCTGTTGTTTTTAATGACTTGAGAGTTGGAACAAAGTATTTGTTGATTACTGGTCATCTTTCCTGGATACTTCTTATATCTCAACCTGACTTTGCAATGTTAGCATTGTTAGCATGTGACATATTAGGTAGAACCTTCAACTTTTTTTTTTCTTTTTTCCTTTTTTATTTTTTTTTTCTTGAGACGGTATTCTGTAGCCAATGCTGGCATCAGATTCAGTATGTAGCTGAAGATATTTAACTCCTACTCTTTAGTCACCAACTGTGAGGATTACAGGCATGTGCCATCACTGCTAGTCCCGGAGTTTGCACGTAACAGTAACAAGCTCAGTTTTAAGACTGACTTCATCATTTGAAATGTTTTAGCATAGCAAATATAGAGGGAGATAGACCAGTGTAACAAATTGAGAATTCTTCGTGGCTTTTGGGGAACTGTAAAATCATAACTAAATTGGCAACCAAAGCCCCAACGCGTTACTGAAAGAGAGAGAGTGAATATGTACTAGAGCATACTTGGAATATAAAATCTGCAGTAAGGACTGGTGCTGTAGCTCATGGTGGAGCTCTTGCTTTGCATTCGTTAGGTCCTAGGTTCAGTCCCCAGTCCTACCAGTAATAACAAGTTAGTAAAAATAAAGGACCCACAGTAAACTTGTTCTTGAAATAAAACATCTCACATACCCTATAGGAGAAACTAGGGACAAACTTTTTACCAGAATAGCAGTTGACTCCTGTTGACTCACTAGGTATTGACCAGCTACGAGGATGGCGATGTCTGGCAGCACTTCTGTAATGGAACCAATTATCTTCTGTTGAAGACTACCTCTACTTTGCATTGATAAAAATCTTGCCTTTGACATGTAATATTTCTTTTTACCAATAGTATGTAGATGTTGATTTATCTGAAAATTGTATTAGATCGTTAATATACAAGTTAGAATTAATTTAGGATACATTTATCTTGCCAGGTATGTAATTCATTAATTTATGTGTTTAAGACAGCTTTGATTCCAATTCTCTTTCTTATAAATATTGTAGTGTAGCTTTCTCTGGCATTGATAGGTGTGTCTAGGCTACGTTCTCCTGACAAAGTATAGGGAGAAAGAATTGAAGGGAGGACACACTGGCTTTGGGAGAACCAGTGGGAGATATTTTAGGAATTGAGATGAATAGCATTAAGTTTCTAAACAAAGGTAATGTATATTATCATAGTGAAGAAAAAGAAGATGGAGGCTGTGGATGTGGCTCATTTGTTATAGTGCTTGCTGGGCATGAACTGAACACAGGCTTCACCCTGTATTTCATTCCTGGTACCACATAAATCACATGTGATTGTATATGCCTGTAATCCTTAGCCGAGTAGTGAGTTTGAGGTCAGCCTGGGATTCACGAGAAACTGTCTCAGAAGACAGAGATTGATTAGAGAAATATTTAGAATGTGAACATTTAGTGATTCCATGATGAATAAGGAATGTGAGATGAGAGACTTGGGATGTTGGAATGACAGTTGATATAATGGACAAGGAGCACAGTTTAAAAAGAAGATGATGAACAGCTCTTTGACATGCTGGGGGGACCTGTAGGTGGAAGTTCAGTGGAATTCTGAAGCTCTAAAAAAGATCTTGGCTAAAGTGTTCAGAGTGGTAGGCTAGAGAGTGACATAGAAGTTAAGAGCACTTGCTGTTCTTCAGAGTATCCAGGTTTGACTCCTGGTACCCACATGATGACTCACTGCCATCTGTAACTCCTTCAGTTCCAGGACATCCGACATACTTTTCTGTCCTCTTCAGGTACCAGGTACAGATGTGGTACATAGACATACATGGAAGTGAAACACTCATACACATAAAAATAATTATAAAATGTTTAGAATGGAGAAGAGTTGATCGTGAAGAGTATCAACAGTTAGCAACACAATGAGGAAGACACTGAGAAACAAAAAAGAACAGGTCAGCTTTAAATAAAACTACCATAGTCAGGGCTGGAGAGATGGCTCAATGGCTAAGAAGACTGACTGCTCTTTGAGAGGACCCAGGCTCAATCCCCAGCACCCACATGGCAGCTCATATCTGTCTGTAACTCAGTTCCAGGGCTTATGACATTCTCATACCAGTACACATATAGGAAAAACACCTGCCGGGCGGTGGTGGCGCACGCCTTTAATCCCAGCACTTGGGAGGCAGAGGCAGGCGGATCTCTGAGTTCGAGACCAGCCTGGTCTACAAGAGCTAGTTCCAGGACAGGAACCAAAACCACAGAGAAACCCTGTCTCGAAANAAAAAAAAAAAAAAAAAAAAAAAAAAAAAAAAAAACACCAATGCACATAAAATAAAAATAAATTATATTTAAAACGAAAAAACAAACTGCCATAGTCGGGTATTTTAGACGGTAGAGTATGAGTGCCAGGAATACTGGAAGTTGTAAGGAAGTAAAGGAAAACAAATAACCCTCATCTGTTAATGTTCTTCTGTGCTCTGCCCCAGGGTCTGTTACCTCGTGGGGAGAAGCCCAACCCTTTAAGACAAAAGAATGCCAAGGTGAACCAGCTTCTCAAGGTTTCCCTGCCGAAGCTTGCCAATGTGCAGCTCCTGGATACGGACGGGGGCTTCGTGCACTCGGACGGTGCCATCTCCTGCCACGACATGTTTGATTTTCTTCATCTCACAGGAGGGGGCTATGCAAAGATCTGCAAACCCCTCCATGAACTGATCATGCAGTTGTTGGAGGAAACACCGGAGGAAAAGCAAACCACCATTGCTTGACTGGCCCCATCAGTGTTAACAACATCCCAGCTTCCTCAGATCATTTACACCACTGGCACTACAGAATCCTTAAGGCACTTTGCATTGTACAATGTTCCTGGATGCTTGTATCTAATGTTTGAAGGGGAGGAGGGATTTAAACTGGTCCTGTATATAAAGGTTTGTTTGGCACAGGAGAAAAATTAGCCAAGAAAAATTCATTTAAAACCAGAAGGGGACTTTTTGTTGTATATGACACATTTGTCGAAGTATCACTGTTTTTCCTAGGACAACATCAAGCATGAGTACAATATGAAGATTGTTTTCTTGGCCCTTTTTTCTATGGATTATGTCATATGTGATAATTATCACATCTACTTGGCTTTAAACTTATTTTTGGTCCAGTTTTAAGGTTCATGAGTTAGTGTGTTGTGTTGTTTTGTTTGATTCCTGTATCCTCAGTGTTTTTATTAGCAAATAGCATCAGATTAAACATGCTTGTCACTCAGATATGAAAGATGCTATAGTTAACAAGCAAGTTTATTCCTCTCAATCTAGCAGTGAAACAAGTTCTGGGGACTGTGGGATATTATTTGTATGCTGCTGAATGAATATCATGTCTGTAATAGACCCATGCATGCAGCCTTTCCTCTGCTTCCCCTTCATCTCTTTGCAGGTGGGTTTAATTACATTGCAAGCTTTTAACTCATTTTTAATCTAGGAGTTGCATTGCTGTCAGGATGATCTTATTGATGTATAACTCATTCCGTGTGGTGTTCTGTGATGTTAGGGTCTGTGTAGTGTTACTCAGAGTTCTGGTTGTTGTGCACCCCCCCCCCCCACCTGTTATGGTTTTCTTTGTTTTTAGCGTTTGGAGTAGGGGATCAGAATTGTTTCCCATTCCATAATGCCTGATGTTATTTCAAGTTTTATATATTATCTTAAGGTGTATATGTTCGTTTTCATTTTATATATATATAGATAGATATATTTTACAGTACCGGATCAAACCCAGGGCCTAGCACATACTAAGCAAGTGCTCTGCCACTGAAGTAATCCCTAGTCTTGTTTGTTTCTTAATTGGTTTAATTCTTAAATTCTATCAGTAAAAAAATATTTGGCTTTTTCCACAAGAAACAGTGAAGCTGTTCTCATAGTAGATGTTCTCTCTTTTTTGGTTTTTTTTTTTTTTTTTTTTTTTGAAAGCAGGGTTTCTCTGTGTAGTTCTGGCTGTTCTAGAACTCTCTCTGTTTACCAGGCTGGCCTCAAAAATTGAGAGATTAGCCTACCTCTGCCTCACCAGTGCTAGGATCAAAGGCGTATGTCACCTTGCCCCACTTTGGATATGCTGGATTTATTCCACCATTTTAGTAAAGATGAGAACTAGGTTTGTCTTTTAGTTTTTGAGGCAGGGTCTCGCTGTGTAGTTCTGGGTAGCCTGGAATTTGCTATATAGACCAGACTGGCCTTGAACTCACAGAGGTCTTTCTGCCCTGCCTCCTGAGGACTGAGATTAAAGGCAAACTCCACCAAGCAGGTGGCTTATTTAACTTTTAAGGCACCTTATATAATGTGTGTTCATCGAGATTTTAACGGTCTGCTCTTGAGCTACACAAACTGCCAATTGAGAGAACAGGAGATTGTTGGTTGTCCGGTAGCATATAGACCCTGTACAAGCTGGATCTACAAAAATTTTAAACTGGACCAGGTTGGGGGTTGAAGTAACCCATTAAATGTGCTCTTCCATGATTCTGCTTAATGGTTACATTCAGTAGCTATGATCTAGACTATATTATGTTCTGCTTTCAAAGCAGCTATTAGGGCTGTTAGAGGAGTTGCTGGTTTGTGCTGAGACCTGCACCTGACTGAGAAGGATACAATTTAGGAAGGCGTTTTTTCCTGATGAACCTCTTTGTAGGAATTTATTTTAATGCATAGTCTTGTGAATGTATCATGTCTTCATTAGCGACAGGAATATACACATGGTGTTTACTAAAATTGTTTACTACATTCAAATTCCCTTTTATTTTTTTAGTAGCCCAAGTTCTTGAGTTTTTCAAGATATTGTTTTCTGAACTGAGGTATAATTTTAGAAAGGAGATCTAATTAAGCCAGAATTTTGTGTGTAAAAAGAACATTTCTATCCAGGTGTTTCTGTGTTCCTCAGAGAGTGGGAGTATGGTCCAAATGAATCCATTAGGTCACTCCTGCAGCATGCGCTTATAGCTTCTCTTGACCAAGGATGAGCTAGTCTTATGAGTTGACCTTCAGCTCCTGCGTGTGTGTATAAACCTCAGATGTTACTACATTTTATATCTACCAGAGCTATTCAAGCAATAGTATTTGAACCACTAGCCTTTTAAATAAAACTCAGCCCTATTGCTAACATGCAGATACTGAGTCCACTGTCATTTCTTGCCAGGTTTACTTATGTTGTTTTAGGGGGAAAAAGTGTTTCTTAGTTTTTCTTTGGTTGACATCCCAGATTGCTTCAGTGACAGAACCGGTTAGTCCTTGTAATTTTTTTTAAGATATGAACTGAATGCAGTGTCTACATGAAGTGTCTTAGTTTATCATTGTGATTAAGGGGCTAGGCAGCTAGCACAGATAATGCTTTGCTCCCTTTCTTAGTAGGTGGGGTGGGTTTCCTTAGTGAGAGTCTACATGTACCCTGGCTTCTCTAGATCCTCTTGTCTCTCTCCCCAACCCTGGATGTTCTGTTCCTTTCTCAGTATAATACAGCTTGGCTTTCAACTTCTCATGTAGCTGTGGATGCCCTTGAACCTTCCAGGTGCTAGGGGTCATGTCTCTAATGTGGCAGGTTGGAGGTGCCCTGCCAAAGGGATGATCGATTGCAAGTGACTTGGCTACCCTTGCAAGTTGCAGATTACATTGGCAGTGCTCTGGCCAATAAATATGTCTGGTATGGTAGGACTGTTGAGGAACTTTATTTAATCCTGATTCTTCTGTCAAAATTCTTCACCCAGCAAAGTAAGTTTTGAGTAGCTCATGCGCTGTCTTTAAGAATTGTAGCTCTCATTGTTAAAGAAGTCGAAAATTTCTATTTGCATTTCAGTCTGACCACTTCTAGTTGTATGCTAAAGTCTGGGGCCTATCTGTGCTGAGGTGTATGGACATTGCTAGTTTTCTAATTATTACAGTGGTGAAGAAAGTAGACACGAAAGGGAGCATGGCCAGCTCCTCATGTGAGTGGGGCTTGTCTGTGGTCTTCCTCCTCGCGACACTGCAGCAGGCTGACTGGACCTCCCCAAGACTGTGTTTGCTAAAGGCTTCTTGACTAGAATCCATTCTGTTCAGTGCTTATTTAATATAAAAGACAACATTTCACTGCGAACTCACTGATGTCTTTCTGTCTCTTTTATCATAGTTTAGATTCCAATGGAAAAAGCAGGGGTGGGCTTTTCTACCTTATAAACAAACTGGATTCTTTGCTCATCTTATGTCCTGTGGAACTGAATGTACCAAGTTGAGTCCCTCTCACAGGGCAGTACAGTAGGATGGGTGAGTAGTTAGAAGTAACCCTGAGTAGATCTATGACGGGGTGTTGTGGATTGGTCAGTCTCCTGGAACTCAGCAATCTGCCTACCACACCCCACCTGCTCACATTAAAGGTGTGCCCTACCGTGCCTGGCCTTACAGATAATTAATAAACCATAATCTGACCTTTGACCCTGTTTTATAAATTCAGTGTTTAGAGTTTTTCACAGAACATCCCATGGGGTATTGTGTTTTTATTCTTCACACCAATAGTCACCATGATTTTAATGCTTGGAGCAGTGACTCCTGTTACCTGTAGCTTACACTCAGATAACTGGCTCTTCTGGGTTTCCGTACCTTCAGAGTATCTTCCATCCCAGCTGTTTTATGTAGATGTAGCCCCATATAGCTATTGGATGACAGGCCAGAGAAACCTTGTCTTGAAGAAGAAAAAAAGAGCCTTAGAAATTGAGTGTTACATCCTGTCTAAGGTAATCCTAGCATAAATAGTTGAGACTGTATTTCCTGACCTCCTTGCCCTTGTGCTATGCATCACTCTAGCTTCCCAGGAAATAAGGTAAATGAGGTCACCGTGCAACTAGTTGCCCCCTCAGGTGATTGTCCTATGGCTGAGGTGTCTTCACAGGGTGAGGCAGCAGCTGCTCTAGTCTTTGTGCTGCTAGAGTGTCCCTTTCGGCTCTAGCTTTTATGTGGTCACAACATTCAGTAAATTTACTTAAAATGCATTGTCTGGTCATCAGCCTTCCCACCTTCAACCAGCACTGAAATGAAATCATTGTAAAACAAGAACTTATACAGATGTACCTATGGGGTTGCAGAGGCTACAGAGCTCTGTGTTAGCATGCCAGTAAAGTCAACTTTAGAGGAAGGTACTACTTAGATAAATGAATCTACAATATACGTACATGGAGTCAAAATACAATTCCCTACATATCTAATCCTTCTGATATCCAGAAAGATGACTTGTTTATGTTTTTGTCTTGTAGCTCAGGCTGTCCTGAAACTCGTTGTGTAGTTGAGGATGATCTTGAACTCATTATTCTGCTTCTATTTTCTAAGTGCCGAGGTTACAGTGTTCACCCACCACCTTATCTAGCCAGAAATATAGCTTCAAAATAGACAGTTTGCCTGCTCCCAATACCATGATTGCAGATGAAATCTTATTCACATCTCCAACATGACTGCCTCCTTTGACGTCCATCTTGTAGATAAGGCCAGAATAGTTTTTCAGATAGCTTAGTATGAATGTGCGCTGTAGACTGCTTTATCAGGACGAGTGTCATCAGTTCCAGCATGACACAGCATGATGTCAGTACAGTACATGAACCTTGACCATACCCTCATTTACTACCCATGCCTCCCAAGCTGAAATTGTGTTCCAGGCATCCTGTGAAGCTATGGGACTAGAGCAAGGTATCAGTCCTAATGACAGCTCACCAGCAGTAGTCACCACTGGAGCATGTGGCTAAACGTTTCTATGGCATGCTCACTTTATCCCTCTGCCACAGTGATGTTGTGGCATTGAAAGGCAGAGGACTTGATAAGGCAGAAATAAGGTGGTTTTCTTCCCAATGCAGCTAATACAGCAAAGCTCCTCTCCACCCAAACTCATAGAGATCATCTTTGTCAGTTGCCTAAACAATTATTTTTAGATAAGGTATATGTTGTGCAGGCTGGCCTTGAACTCCCCATCCTTTTTTGCCTCAGCCTGCCAAATAGGTGGAATCACAGACCTGAGCCAGCTGACTCAGCTTGATCGCATTTTTACATAGCCATTCTGAATCAAGGATCTTCAGTGTTTGGCTGAACAGTGGTTCTCTTTGATGCCAGTGTGATCTCATGTAGGCCTCTGGCCTTATTTTCTGGCTCATGTGAACTTAATTCATTTATAAACATTTTTTTGCCTGTGTTTAAGACAGGTTCTTGCTGTCTGGCCCTGACTGGGTTCAAACTGACCATCTTGCCCCAGCCTCTTAGTTGCTGAGATCACAGACAGGCACCACTGCCTGGCTTCCGTGAACACATTTTACACACCGAGCAGCTTTGTCAGCACACTAGTGAAGAAGTCAAGAACAGCAGCATGCTTTTGACAGCTACTGGCTTACAGGGTCAAGTTCAAGACTTCCATTCTTCTTAATCCTTCCCTTTGAGCCTTCATGCCAGTACCATATAACTTAAGCATATGGCTGCTTCGAGGTGAACTACTGTCTGGAATATGTTCCTGTCCCTTTGCTGGTAGTTTCCCATCTGTCATGCAGTAGGAACACCTGGAGTCTTTGCTGGTTTCTCCTGTTTCTAGCTCCAGTCTGTGTTCACATCATGTCCTCTACAAACTTTTAAAAAGAATGGGTGTTTTGTTTGTTTTTTAAACGACATATATTTTCAAGTGGGTGCACATGCCACAGTGGAGGTTGGATGGCAGCCTGTGGGAGTTGGTGATCTCCTTACCATGTGATTGTGGTTATGGGACTTAGGTCTTAAAGTGTCGCAAATTGCCCTTATCTGCAGAGACATCTTCCAGGCCTATGTAAATACAGAAGGTGCTTTAAGCCTCTCTCTGTTCCCAGCGCAGCTTAGTGACAAGCAGAGGCCAGACACTGAATAAACAGAATGAATGAATGGGAATTGTTTCATTGTCATTTGGCTCGTAACTCAGCATTCAGGCAGGAGCACAAATATTTTTCCTTCTGTGCCCACTTATTTCAGGGACACCATACAGCTTCTGTCTAGGGATTATTTTTCCTAGTGATAAACGAGGGAGAAATAGAAATGAAATTGACTTGGGTAAGGGTATCTGCTGCCAATCCTGACCTCCTGAGTTCCATTCCCAGGACCCACATGGAAAGGAGAGAACTGCCTTCCGCAGGATGTCTGCACAGCCTGTCACATAGGAGCTCCCTCTCTTCAACACATTGAAAAATATGATTTTTAAAAGCAGACCCTGGGCATAGTGGTACATGCCTATAATTTCAACATTCAAAAATCTGCAGCAGGCAGGCTTGGGTGGTACAAGTCCTTAATTCCAGCACTGGGGTGGCAGAGTTAGGGTGCATCTCTGAGTTTGAAGCCAGTGTGGTCTACATTATGAGCTCTAGAACAGCCAAAACTATATAAAGAGACCCTTCTTCATAAACAAAATCTACTACAGGATTGCCATGTTTTTTGTTTGTTTTTCATTTTGGTTTTTCGAGGCAGGGTTTCTCAGTAGGTTGGAGCCTGTCCAGGAACCAGCTCTTGTAGATTAGGCTGGCCTCAAACTCAAGAGATCTGCCTGCCTCTGCCTCCCTAGTGCTGGGATTAAAAGTGTGCACCACCACCACCTAGCTGGATTGCCATGGTTTTGAGGCCAGTCTAAGCTATATAGTGAGTTTTATGCCATCCTGGGCTGCAGAATAGGCTCTGCCTCACTAAAAGAAAAAGGGGGGAGGGGGGAATCTACTTATGGTGGTACAAGCCTGTAATTCCCAGCATTCAGGGAAATAGAGGCAGGCAGATCAAGAGACAGGAGTTCAAGACCCATTTAGGCTACTTGAGATCCTATTTTAAACAGCACTACCACAAATTACCCAAAACAAAAGCCGAAAGATGCAACACATGCATAATAGCAAAATTTCTTGAAACTTTTAAATTGTGTGATTAAAAGTGAGTGGAATATTTTGAGTGATGAAGCTGGGTGTGGTGGTGCATAGCTTTAATCCCAGCACTTGGGAGTTAGAAGCAGGCAGAGCATTTGAGGCCGACCTGGTCTACATAAGTAGTACCTTTCTATGGAGTTCCAGGTCAGCAAAGTTTCAAAGTGAGGCCCTGTCTTTTTTTTTTTTTTTTTTTTTAGTGGTGTAGAAGAGGCTAGCCTGGTTTGGAGGTTTTAGGAATGAGGAAGTCATCTTGGGAGGAGTCAGACCAGTTCAGTAAAAGATGTTGATAGATGAGCAGTATAAAATAAGGGGCCCTTGGGTCACTGAGAACAGTGGCGCCAGGGCTGCAGAGTCCCCTGCAGAGTCCCCTGTGATCTCTAGATGTGGAGGAGATGGGTACAGCTCCTGAGCAGCACCGTGACTTACTAGCCCGAGGCACAGGCTTTTCTGTAGGTGGGAAAGAGCCGCTGGTCTTGTCAGTGATCCTTGGAGGCACAGATTTGGATTGATCCATTATTTATCTGATTGTGTCCTGCAACCTGATGCCCAGTCAGTCTTTCCTGGAAAGCTCTTATGGTTCTGTCATATGGCCAGAGGGAACCAGATACAGGGCCTGGGTGACTCAGTATGAATGGCGAAAGTTGTAGGAAATGGAAAGTGACAGCCTTCTCTGGCAGAGAGCCCTGCCCATTTGCTCAGAGCTATTTGCCTGCATTTCCCTTGCCAATTTTTAAAATTCCCCACTCCACCCACACACACACCCAGTACCGGAGATTGAATCTAGGCTCCTCACACATACCAGGCAAGAGCTCTACCACTGAGCTATGTAAATTTTAAACTCTTTCCACGTTTTGACACAGGCCTTGAACCTGTGGGCCTCTTGCCTTACCTTCTTGATTAGCTGGGATTACAAGTCTGCCACCAAACCAAACTGCTCTTCCTGCTCCTTGGGCAATAGTTTAATATATGCATGCAAAATCGGACATGCTGATGCATACCTTTTGTCCCATCACTCAGGAAGCAGAGGCAGGTGAATCTCTGAGTTCGAGGCCAGCCTGATCTACAGAGTGAGTTCCAAGATAGCCAGAGCTACACAGAGAAACCCTGTCTTGAAAAAAAAGGAGGGGGGGGAATATGTACGCAGGCATTCTTCACCCACCACCTGCAGTATTAAGAACAATAGGGATGGTGCTTGGCTCTT